TGACGCTCACGGGGCCCGGTGAGGGCCGCCGGAAGCCGAAGACGACCGAAGAGCACATGCCATGATCTGAGCTGCCCCGATACGCAACACGCAACACGCAGCGTGCTGACACGGAGCTCAGCATGGAGATCGAAAAGAGACGACTGGCGCGATGGAGTTCGCGACTGGAGGAGATCTCTGGTCTCGCCGACGCCCCCCTCCCCCCTTGCGCGCAGCTGATGTCCGGGGGGGGCCAGGAGACTGGCACGCCCGACAGGGGCACGGGAAATATCGGCACGGTGAAGGCATTGGATAAGGAACCATTGGATGCGGAATCCAAGGTCTGGAAGCCGATGGAAGAAATAACGGGGGCTCGGCCGTGGATATCATAGCCACCCCTAGGGTCTGCAGCCTCCTGGGCACATTCCTTAATCAACGCCCACAACATACGATGCCCAACGACAAAGGTTGTCCGACACCGACAGCGGCCGCCGTTGAGCAGCCGACTTGTGGCCCCACATGGACAACGTCCGCGCCGCGGCGTCACCGACAGCGATCCCTGGTCAAAATGGGCAGGAGCTGCTGTCAGTCTTCGTCCCAGTTCTTGCCGTACCCATGTCGATCGCACCCAGGAGAGGAAGCCAACTCCCTGGCCCGGCCGACCCCTGCATTCGCGCGGACGCCGACCCACTGCATGTTGGTGCCAGCCTTCCTCGCTGGGCGCGGCGGCGCCGGGGTCAAGGTTGAGACAGTGAAGTCGGGCGATATGAGAGCGTCGATGCGGCTTTCTGTCAGCATCGGGCTCTAACGTCTCGTCCCTGGCGGGGCTCCTCTGGGCCAGACTGAGTACTGACGATGGACATGCAAAATGGCATGGGAGCATTGCCCCAGCACGTGCGCTAGAAGTCACAGTGGAATTAAAACAATACATGGTTCATATTTTGAGCGTATGATTCCATCGACGTGCTGCCACAAGCAACGCCGACTATGGAACGAGGGAGCTTTTCTGGCCACAGCGAGCCTCGGCAACGAATAGGCTCCCCGACGCAGAGCTAAGGAGCAGCCCGAAGCAGAGCCTCTCCCGAGTCCAAAGTGGTCCTTGCTTCAGCGTCTTGACTGCACGTCGCCGAAGAGCGAGCACGGCCCCTGCAGAGTAGTGCTGCCTAGGGGGCTGAAGAGGCACGTGCGGTGCCGCTTTCCCCAAAAAGCCCCTGCGGCTAGGATCAAGGGTCAGCTCCCGACAAGCGTTGCCCTCCTGGTGCGGTGCTCCTCTGCGGGTTTTATTTGAATATCTGTCCCTGTGGTTTCCCTCCGATTTCGGCCTCCAGGGTACGACTCTGAGCCCCAGCGGTCCTGAGCCCCAGGGCCATCAGAAACGGACCTGGTGCGAACAACTTACCCAGGGAAGGGGTCGATACCCCTGGGGCCTGCGGATTGGACACGCTCCTCGAGCCTCTGCGGTTGGACATGGTGGGATGAAGGACGGATCTTTCCTCGGCGCCATGCTTTGGGAAGAGGAGAGGGGAGGCCGGCAGAAAGAGGCGGCGGAAAGCGGAGGGGGAGGAGACGAAAGGGAGGGGAGGGGACGGGGGGCAGGGGAGTGGCTTACGTATTGAAGGGGGGGCGTTGAGGCGGAGAGGCGGGGAGGCGAGGAGGGAAAAGGGGGGAGGGACAGGGGGACAAGGGAGGAGGGACAAGAGACAAGTAAGAGGGAAGAGGGAGGGAAAGGGGGAGGACGCAGTTAGGGTGCAAGGAGAAGCAGTACGGAGGAAAGGAGCATCAGGCACTTTCCTCACAGGATGGACCCACTTCGCTTCACTCCTAATTTCGTCCTCCGTCCTCCCTGCATGCTCCTTCTCCCGTCCTCTTCATTTCATTCCGCTCCCTCCTCCTCCTCCTCCTGCTCCTCCTGCTCCTCCTCCTCTTCCTCCTCCTCCTCCTCCTCATCATCATCATCAACATCCTCGTCCTCATCCTCATTCTCGTCCTCGTCCTCATCCTCGTCCTCATCAGCATCGGCATCAGCATCATCAAACTCATCCACATGTTCAGCATCAGCATCATCATCATCATCATTATCGTCATCATCGTCATCATCATCGACATCAGCAGCAACAGCAGCAGCGGCAGTAGCATCAGCATGAGCATCAGCATACTCATCATCATCATCATCATCATCATCATCATCATCATCATCATCATCATCATCATCATCATCATCATCATCATCATCGTCATCATCATCATCATCATCACCACCAGCAGCAGCAGCAGCAGCATCACCATCACCATCATCGTCATCATCATCGTCACCATCATCATATGTATCATCATCCTCAGTATCATCCTCACCATCATCGGTATCATCATCAGCAGCAGCATCTTTATCCGCAGCATCATCTGCAGCAACATCGTCATCCTCATCAGCATCAGCAGCACTACCGTCAGCATCATCATCATCATCATCAGCAGCAGCAGCAGCATCAGTATCATTACCAGCATCAGCATCGGTATCAGTAGTATCATCATCATCATCATCATCATCATCATCATCATCATCAGCAGCAGCATCATCAGCAGCAGCAGCAGCATCAGCGTCAGAATCATCAGCAGCAGCAGCATCAGCGTCAGCATCATCATCAACATCATCATCATCAGCAGCATCAGCATCAGCATCAGCATCAGCATCAGCATCAGCATCAGCATCAGCATCAGCATCATCATCATCATCATCATCATCATCATCATCATCATCATCATCATCATCATCATCATCATCATCATCATTCGTCCTCCCGCTTCCGCCTTGCTCACGTCTCCCCTCCTCTCTGTCCTCGTCCCCCCCTCCCCCTCCTCCCCCTCCTCCTCCTCCTCCTCTCCTCCTCCTCCTCCTCCTCCTCCTCCCTCCCCTCCCCGCCCCTCCTCCTCCTCCTCTCCTCCTCCTCCTCCTCTCCTCCTCCTCCTCCTCCTCCTTCCTCCCTCCTCCTCCTCCCTCCTCCCCCTCCTCCTCCTCCTCCTCCCTCCTCCTCCTCCTCCTCCTCCTCCTCCTCCCTCCTCCTCCTCCTCCTCCTCCTCCTCCTCCTCCTCCTCCTCCTCCTCCTCCTCCTCCTGTTCCTCCTCCTCCCCTCCTCCTCCTCCTCCTCCTCCTCTCCTCCCCGTGTCCTCCTCCTCCTCCTCGTGTCCTCCTCCTCCTCCTCCTCCTCCTCGTGTCCTCCTCCTCCTCCTCCTGCCCCCCTTCCCTGCCCCTCCCTTCCCCCTCCCTCTCCCTCCCCCATCCTGCCCCTCCTCTTTTGGCGCCTCTATGTCTTGTATCCTTGTATCCTGCCCCGGGCGTCCTCTTCGCCTTCTCCCGCGCGGGGGTGCCCGTGATGCCCATCAGGGCCATGCCCTCCTCGCGGTCTGCGGGGTTCAGCCGCACCGCCGGGGCCTCGGAGGCATGGGCGGGTCGCCTCCGAGAGGAGAGGGCGAGCGGGGGGGGAGCAGGCAGGCAGGCAGGCAGCCCTGGGGGCAAAACCTAGCCCTACGCGGAGAGCGGGCGGTTGGCACCGCAGTGCCTCAGATGTTGTGCTTCACGAACCTGCTTCGAGATCTTTCCAGAGCGGTGAGTTTCCAGGGGAATTCCTTGGCGAATGGGGGAGGAGGACACGAGGGGGAGGGGGGGGGGCAGGGGCGTGGCCAGCTCTCTTCTGCTCAGGGCGGAAAAACTGATTGCGAGAACAAGCACGCGGGGGCTGCCGAAGAAGATGGGCCCCAAGGGCGGATGTGGGCACAATGCGGGCCCCGTCTCTAGCATTCAGGTCTGTCGGTCCGTCTTCGTCCTGGGTCGGCGCGGTCGCGGTCATCGTCGTCGGCGGCCGGTCGGTCGGCCGGTTGGTCGGTCGGTCGGTTGTTGTCGTCGTCGGTCGGTAGGTCGAGCCGTCGCCATCGCGGTCGTCGGTTGGTCGTCGGTCGGTTGGTTGCCTCTCATTGGCGGTACAACCTGTAGAACAAACCCTCTCCGGTCTGAAGGGCGCGTGGCAAGACGTGCGCCCTGGGCCCCCTCAATCGAGCCGGCAGACGAGCCCGCAATTCGCAGAATCAACGCCCACCAATGGAAGTGCCGCAGGGGCCCCCACGATACCCCGCACCTCAAAATGGCGGACGATCGCGCCAAAGGGAGCGCGCAGAATTGCGAAATAAACGCCCACTCTTGAGAAGTGCCCACCGCTTCCCCATCAATCTCAAAATTCGGGGGCGATGGGGGCGCGTTTCGGGCATGTTGTTGCCTAGACCCGGTACGGGCATTGGTTTCGCAGCGGTATCCTTCAATCAGATTTCCTGCTCCTCTTGCTTTTTCTCACCTCACCCTGCAAATTCTTCCCCATCTTCCTCAGCTTTTGTTTCGGAGGTTTCTCTTTGGAAAGCCTCTCGGGGGGCTCGATAAAGCTTGTTAAGAGCTTCGTGGGGCCTTCTGGAGGCCTCCTGGGCGCTTTCTGGGGGCCTCACGGGGCTTCCTCGGGCCATCCTGCTTCCAACCGCGGTGTCCCTGAAAGACCAGGTCACGATTTGGAATGCTTCGGGGGGGCGTCTTGGGGCCATGTTGGGCCGTCATGGCGCTCTCTTCGGGCCATCTTAGGGCCCTGTTGGGCCGTCTTGGAGTTGTCTTGGGCTGCCTGCCTAGACGCCCTTATGGGTAGCTTTAGACGATGTTCGGGACTCCTGGTCGGTCTCGGACGCCCTGAAGACGGAAGAACAGAGCATTCCCCAAACTGCACAACAGAAAAAGAGTAAATGTTTGTGCTGCGTTTCGAAAGCGTCTTGGGGGTCTTCTTTGAGTCTTCTTCGGGAATCTGGTGGGTGTCTGGGGCCTCTTGGTGCTCTCGCGGGGCCATTAGGCAGCCCTCCTGACCGATTCGGGCCCGTTGCTTAAGCCAAGCAACGGCCTCCAGGATCGCCGCAAAGCCCGGGAGGCCTTCTGCAGGGGCGTCTAGAGGGACCCCCAGGGCCACGGATCAGGAGTGTCCCGTGTTGGGGGGGTGGGAGGGGGGAGGAAGGAGGGGGAGGGGGTTTTCCCCCCACCTCCCTCCGTGAGTCGCATATACATGACCCTCGCAGACAAGCTGTTCAGCGAACCATGGGGACACGGCGCTGGCCTCCGTGTCTTCTGCCACTGCCAACCAGCACCAGGTATACCACATCTCAAAACTTTGGAATGAATGCCTTGAAGTATTTCACTGGGTCCTTTGCGACGTCCTTGTACAATTTGGTCACAGTTTTGTTGGTCTTAGTCCAAGCCTCAACGACAGCATCCTCAACATTCAAAGACTTGCCCTTGTAGCAGTGGGGAATGCCACCTTCGACCTGATCATCGTAGCAACACCTGTGCAACGCGAAAGATGTGGCTCCAGACAAGCCAAAGTAGTACAATGGCAGTGAGGTTGGCGGATATCCAGAAAGCGCCCAACACACAAAGCCGCAACCGCCAATGTAAGAGAATGATCGGGACCATCGAGAAGCCAACGCCAATTCTATATAACTCGTGTACTTGCCACCTAAGCTGATCCACCTCAGATACGAAGGCAACTTTGACCGCTTAATTCTCAGAGTCTGCGCCTGTCCCGTCTCCGTCAGAGCCTTTTTCATCATCTTGAGCTTCGTCTCCTTTCCCACCTTCGTGATGCCGTCTCCAACGATGATACGGTTTCCACCAAGGTTTTCTTCAGCCGCCGCGCCCGTGACCGCCGTGACCGTCAGCTCGCTAGAGTCCGTGTTCTCAGCGACGCTCAAGCCGAGGCCTGCGCCTTTTTCTAACTTGACCGACTTCTCAAATTTAGCCCCATCTTTTATAAAGCATGCTATCGACAAACACTCGCCGGTGCTGATGCCGCCATAACCGCAGTCCTCCCTCTTGGAGGTCTTCACGTCGCAAGCGCTATAGCCAGAGACGAATAGCAGCCAGGCGCAAACGACAAAGTGGACGACGAAGAATATTGGCCGCCGCCGTCGCTGCTGCAGCATCCTGGACAGAGCACTCGTAGAGAGCTCCTCGTCTGCCTTCGCCATTTTCTTCGCACTGTTCTTGGTCTCCGCCGCCGAGGCCGCCTTCTGCGGCGTGGGTTCCTCCGCAGGCTTGTCCTCCTGCCTGCCAGAGTCGGGGGCCTTCTTCCCCATGGACGGCTCGGAGGCGCGCCGCGCGGGCTCGCGCGGCGCGCCTCCGAGCCCACTTGAACCAAAATGGCTACGGAACACGTGTGGTGCAATCTTTGTGGGGCGTTGGTGGGAATTGACTGCCATGCACCGCGCTTGACCACCTCCACTGCTCGCGCAAACATCCCACCCAGCCACCCGCAACTCGGTTTGCAACATCTCTTAAGACCGTGACGGTGGGTACCAAATGGCACTTGGCAACGACAGCGACGCCGACGACGACAGCGACAACGACGACGACGACGCCACCGACAACGACTACGACGACACCGACGACGTCTCCAACGACTTCGACGACGCCGACAACGACGACGACGACGACGACACCGACGACGACGACGACGACGACGACGCCGACGATGACGACGACGACGATGACTCTGCCGACGACGACAACGACGACGACGACGACGACGACGTCAACGACGCCGACGACGACGACGACGACGACGACGACGACGACGACGACGCGGCGACGACGACGACGACGACGTCGACGACGACGACGACGACGACGACGGCGGCGGCGACGACGACGAAGACGACGACGACGTCGCCAACGAAGACGACGACGAGGGAGGAGGGAGGACGACGACGGCGACAACGACGACAACGACGACAACGACGAGGGAGGAGGGAGGACGGCGACGACGCGAACGACGAAGAAGGAGGAAGGACGGCGACGCCGACGACGACAACGACGAGGGAGGAGGGAAGACGACGACGACAACGACGACGACGACGACGACGACGGCGACGAAATAGGAGGGACGACGACGAGACGCCGACGACGGACGACGACGACGACGAGGGAGGAGGAGGAAGGACGACCACGGCGACAACGACGACGGAAACGACCACGACGCCAAAGAGGACGACGACGACGAACACGAGGAAAGACAGAGGACGACGTAGGCGATGACGACGACGACGCGGGAGGAGGGAGGACGGCGACGACGACGACGACGACGACGACGACGACGACGACGACGACGACGAAAACTACGCAAGGGCGCGCGCGCACGCTTGTGTTGAAAATCCGTGTTGCGAAACCTTGTGTTTTTGTATGTTTTTTGGACACACGATGTTGACATCCTTCCGAAACCGATGGGTTTTGAAGGATTCCGGCATACGCGCGCGACGACGCGCGCGTCTGCACGTCGTCCAATTTTTTGCAGAGGATTCTCGCGACGGCACACGCGCAAGGGCGTTCGACAGATTTCGACATGCGCGCGCGAAGCCCGTTTGGTAGAATGCTGCGAAAATGTTGAAAAACCTATGGTTTCTTAAGATTTCGCAAGAGGTCGCGCATAAGCTTTTTTAGCAAATCAGTGTTACGAAACCCTGTGTTTTTGTATGTTTTTCGAAAACTCGATTGCGAAATCCTTCCGGCACCAAAAAGTGTTTGACGGATTTCGGCATGCGCGCGCGACGACGCGCGCGCGCACTTCGTCCCATGTTTTGCAAGGGATTCGTGAAAAAAGTGCTACGTTCGAAAAAAATGTTACCGCACAGTGTTTTTTTTGTTGCTAGGGAACCTCAGGGGGGGGAAACCTGTTGGCCTGGGACAGTGCGATTTCATTTTTAGGATGGACATGTGGTCAGAATCATATGCGATTTACATACCCGTAAGGGGGGGCGATAACGCCGGGGGGGGTAGAGCCTCTTTTTCTTTTTAGAAAAGAGTATCAATCACTTGCCGATCTTGAAGTTGTCAACTCCACTGCTCGCGCAATCATCCCACCCACCCACCCGCAACTTGGTTTGCAAAATCTCTGAAGACCGTGACGGCGGGTACCAAATGGCACTTGGCAGCGACAGCGACGCCGACGACGACAGCGACAACGACGACGACGACGCCGCCGACAACGACTACGACGACACCGGCGACGTCTCCAACGACTTCGACGACGCCGACAACGACGACGACGACGACGACGACGACACCGACGACGACGACGACGACGACGACGACGACGCCGACGACGCCGACGACGACGACGACGACGATGACAACGACGACGACGATGACGACGCCGACGACGACGACAACGACGACACCGACGACGACGGCGACGACGACGACGCCAACGACGCCGACGACGACGACGACAACGACGCCAACGTCGACGACGACGACGACGACGCCGACGCCGACGACGACGACGAAGACGACGACGACGTCGCCAACGCAGGCGACGAGGAGGGAGGAGGAGCAAGGACGACCACGGCGACAACGACGGCAACGACGACAACGACGAGGGAGGAAGGAGGACGGCGACGACGACGACGACGACGACGCCGACGCCGACGACGACGACGACGATGACGAACGACGACGACGATGACAACGCCGACGACGACAACGACGACACCGACGACGTCGACGACGACAACGACGCCGACGACGACGACGACAACGACGCCGACGTCGACGACGACGACGACAACGACGACGACGACGACGACACCGACGACGACGACGACGACGACGCCGACACCGACGACGACGACGACGACGATGACAACGACGACGCCGACGCCGACGCCGACGACGACGACAACGACGACACCGACGACGACGACGACGACGACGACGTCAACGACGCCGACGACGACGACGACGCCGACGCCGACGACGCCGACGACGACGAAGACAACGACGACGACGACGACAACGACGTCGCCAACGAAGACGACGACGAGGGAGGAGGGAGGACGACGACGGCGACAACGCCGACAACGACGACAACGACGACAACGACGCGGGACGAGGGAGGACGGCGACGACGCGAACGACGAAGAAGGAGGACGGCGACGCCGACGACGACTACGACGAGGGAGGAGGGAAGACGACGACGACGACGACAACGACGACGACGACGGCGACGAAATAGGAGGGGCGACGACGAGACGCCGTCGACGGACGACGACGACGATGACGACGACTACGACGACGAGGGAGGAGGAGCACGGACGACCACGGCGACAACGACGACGGAAACGACCACGACGCCAAAGAGGATGACGACGACGAACACGAAGAAAGACACAGGACGACGTAGGCGACGACGACGACGACGCGGGAGGAGGGAGGACGGCGACGACGACGACGACGACGACGACGACGACGACGACGCAAGAGCGCGCCTGCACGCTTGTGTTGAAAATCCGTGTTGCGAAACCTTGTGTGATTGTAGGTTTTTTGGACACGCGATTTTCAATTCGTTCCGACACCGATGGGTCTTGAAGGATTCCGGCATACGCGCGCGACGACGCGCGCGTCTGCACTGCGTCCCATTTGTTGCAAAGGATTCTCGCGACGGCACACGCACAAGGGCGTTCGACAGATTTCGACGCGCGCGCACCCGAACCCGTGTGGTAGCATGTTATAACAAATCTGAAAAAAAATGATTCCTTTAAGATTTCGCAAGAGCCCTGTGTTTTGTAAGTTTTTTTGGGGGGGGAATCTCGATTGCGAAATCTTTCCGACACCGATAGTTTTTGGAGGATTTCGGCACGCGCGGGCGCGGAAGCGAGGCGCGACGAGCGCGACGCGGTGAACCCCGAGCGGCGCGCGGCGCGCGGCCCCGAGCTCTGTCGCGTGAACTTCTGCTCGCCAGGCCCGAACATGAACGAGCTCCTCGCCCGCGCCTCGGCCTCGCCGTCGTCGTCGGCGCCTTCGGCGCCCTGTGGCAGCACCTCGGCGACCTCCTGGTAGATCGGAGACTCCTTGAAGCCGTGCACCTGCAGCCAGATTCCCTGCCGCAGGTAGCGGAAGCGGAAAAGCTGGCCCGGCGAGCGCCCCTCGCACCGATGCTCGCCCTCGGGGCGAAGCCCGAAGGATGCGATGGTGGCCCGCTGCTCCTGCACAAGCCCCAACTTCTTCTTCAGCTCTCCCTGCGCTGCCGCGTGTCGCACCTCCGTGCCGACGTGGGCCGGCAAGACGCCGTGGACGTCCCCCGTCTCGCGCGTGCTCGGAACGTTCAGGAGGCGCCGGCCCGCGTCGGGATCGCCCTGAATCGCGTTGCACTCGTCCACGGTCCGCAAGGAAACTTGGGGCACGCCCGAACGTCGCGCGTCGCGACGAGCGCACGCGTTGATCCATATTGCCAGCGTCTCCCAATATATGCCCAGACCGTAGCCGAGCTGGAACTTCTCGCGCTAGTGCCAAGGGTCCAGGACGCCGCGGCTGTCCGAGGCCAACGTCGTTCCCGAAGCGAACCACACCTCTGGCGGGAAGGGGTTGACCTCGCGCGTGCAGCCCACGAACGTGATCAGATCCGCGGGTTCGAAGCGTTTCGTGCTTATCCGCTCGATGACACAGGGGATCTTAGAGAAGACTGCTGAATCTGCACCAGCGGCGGCTCCGCGTACTTGTAAGACCCGTCGTCCAGGAGCTCGGTCACGTCCGTCAGGAGGCCGATGCTGCCCGTGTGTGTCAGCTGCAGGAAATCGCCGAGGTGCAACACGATGGTCGCGCCCGAAGTGGTGCTGCGGCCGCTTGTACGTGAACTCCTGCAAGTCGTGCGTGTCATTGCGTCCGTCGCACGCGCGAAGGTCCAGCGCGATGTACAACACGACCGCCACCCGCCTGATAATTCCTCCATATCCAAGCCTCAGGGGCCCAAAGGTGACGACAGTTCAAGGGTTCCGATGACCCGCTCGGATTAAAAACATGAGCGGCGGGCCCCATAGGGAAAGGGCTCCCGCCTGAGATTTCCTCGCAATTCACTCACAGTGGCGACAGCTACAACGTTCTGAAGACCCGCTCGGATTAAAAAATGAGCGGTGGGCCCCATATGGAGGGGGCTCCCGCCTGAGACCTCCTCGCAATTCTCTCACAAACGAAGTTCCCGTAGATTTCCTCCATATCCACCAAGCCAGAAGGGCCCAGAAGTGACGACGGTTACAGGGTCCCGATGTCCCGCTCGGATTAAAAACATGAACGGCGGGCTCCATAGGGAAGGGGCTACCGCCTGAGACCTCCTCGCAATTCACTCACAGACGAAAGTCCCGCC